TAAAAATAATTTATTATATATATTTTAAAGTAATTAATAAAATAAAAGTGTCCAATACTTTTTTCCACCCCCTGTATGTATTTTATTACTAATAAATGTGTATTACATGTACATGTAATAGTAAATTGCACATCCATTTAACGGTACGTATCCTGTTCTGAACTACGTATATCGCTTGCTGTATTGGAAAAAGGGTATGGTTTTGAAATATCGATATCGTTATAGGTTAACAAGACAGTTTATCGTTATCGATAACACGAAATTTTGTATTTCTTATCGTTGTTAGCGGTAAATACAGTAATATTAATTTTTTGGATTTTAGATGAATTTACATTTTTCTCTAGAAACAATTTTAACAATTTTCCAATTTAAATTCTTCAGCAATTTAAACACAAAATGTTCAATTAGCTTTATTGGGTTTAACACTAGCGCTAGGTTTCACAGTTTATTTGATTGGACGACGTCAAACGAAAATGATCGTAGACAGACCTTTTCACTGCGACTAATTAAAGATTTTTGTGAATGATTAACAGAAAACGTTTTTAGAATGAACCTCCACTTGTACATTATAATATACCGATACTTGGGCACTCTATAGAATTCTTAAACAATAGTCAGGAACTATTCAGAAAAGCACATCAACAAGTAACCTTTCTAATTTATAATATTATCCTTTCAAATACTGAAATTAATCAAACCTGTTTTTGCAATCGTTTTCAAGTATATGCGTTTGGCAGAATTATCACGGTTGTTACCAACGAATTGAGTTATGAAATATTGAACACGACATCGATGAATCTTCTTGCGCATATAGAACAAGTAAATATTGTAAATGTAAATTCCCTTCGAGCTTAATGAATTATTAACTAATAAATATTTTCATATTAGATAGTGCCATTAGCGCAACTTTTCAATCTTCATAAAGAAGACTACGCTACCATCATCTCTGGTCTCGTTCAAGAAATTAATGGACGAATGGAAGTTTATCATGATAGAATTCAGAAATCTCTTTCCCTTGCTCTTGATGAGTAATTGGTGATTGTAAAGGTATGGGTATATATGGAGTAATAATTACCTGTTATTTAAATGTTATTAATGTAATTACAATTCTATTGGTATTAGAACCTAAACTTACTTACGATTTATCTCAAACAATCATCGCGAGATCAGTCGCAAATATTTTTGTGGGAGAGATATTTGCAAAAACCTTTGTTATTTCCGTCTATTCAGAATCTTATTTTGTTTCTCTTATTATTACAGGAACTATGCCACGATAAAGAAATCATAAAAACATTCAAAAATTTTGCGGGAGATGTTTCTAAGCATCTTCGTGCTACTCCATTCTTGTCGTTTATTCATCCATGGCTCAGTAAGCAACTTTTCATGTATGTGAGTTTCAAAGGATAATTCACTCGTCATCTTTTATATCGCCTATAATAGTTTATGACTATTTTTTTTTCGTTTATTGTTTTACAGAATTCAGTTCAAATTCGGTGATAATGCAGTCAGAAATCATATTTCTCTATTAATTAGTCGCATTAAACCAATTATAGGAAAACGACTAAAAGATCAAATCAACTTTGGTGAATCTTATCAGAAACCTGTGAGTTCAATCAAGAATTTTGCGGTGAAGTCTTATTCAAAATAATATATAAAAATCACGCTTATTTTTATTCGAGTTTTATAGAATGATCTGGTTCAAGAATTGATTGATCATGCTCAAAAAAATAAATAAAAAATTGATTGTGATCGAATGGTTTCTTATATTTTGATGATTGTATGGGGAGCAATTCAAACTACCAGCAGTAGCTTATATAACGTATTACAAGGTACGTACGTGCTGTTGAGATTTTCCGTCTCTAATATTTTTGAATCTAACAAGTCACACATACTATAGAATATGCAACACGACCAACTATTTGTCGGTAATAATGCTGACAAGTTTGAATTGTTGGAGAAAATGCGTAGGCTGGATAGTTTTGTTAAGGAATCCATGAGAACGTGTAGCAATATCGGTGAACAAAGTGAAGTGATTTATTGAATATTTGATACGAATATTTCTCTAATTACATGTACTCGATTTCTTTCTTTGAAGTTGGTTTACCTCATCTGACGATGATCCCCGAATTCAAATTTTCTAATGGATATCAAGTTCCTGAAGGTGAGCACATTTTTGAAACTTTTTGATTTTTTTTTGTTGATAATTCTTTTTTGATTTTTATAGGACGTGGAGTCAGAGTATATCTTGACCCCATATACCACAAAAAAGTACTACAAGGGGCTGATGCCACAGAATTCAACGGACGTAGGTACCTTGAAAAGGACTCTTCCGCTTCACAAATCAGTCGTGATTTTCTAATGTTTGGACTTGGACGACATGCTTGCCCAGGAAGGTTTCTTGCAGTAAATGAAATCAAATTTGTAAGTCTTTAAATTTTCGTTTTTTCGAGTAGGAAAACAATCTCGGACTAAATGGCTTTTTTATAAGTGATGTCCGAAATTATTTTACGATATAAAATTACTCCGATAAATTCACCGAGAAAGAAAATCATTAAAGCAGGATTTGTGATACCTAATAATGATGAGGGGGTAATATTCGAAAGACGTAGTTGAACAAACAATCTATTTTCGTTATATTTACACGTTCGTAACCTAGAATAGTTGTAGATTTTAGCTTTAAATCCTTCTTATAGTTATCTCTAAATCAAAATATTCAATTATAGAGTTTCATTGATTACCATATTCGTCCGGGAAATAAGCACCGCTCAACCGACATGGTTTGGACTCCAAAAAAGGGGTGGTGCTTATTCTCGGGCAGTCTCCTCGCGGATCGAACTTCTTGGTGTTAAAAGAAGAGCTCATTATGCATACAAAATTTACTCATATTACGCGTAACATCGCGCCTACGATATGCATTTGATGCATTTAAAGAAGAGCCTTTTATCCTTTGCACACATACAAATAGAAGTCGTAAAGGTGCTCTGTCTTATAACGTCAACATTGAATCGATCTCACACATACAACTATCTCGAGTTTACTCTTCAAATGAAAGTCAAATAAATGACTCGTACTTTAAGACTAAATATGATTTACAAACGCAGACGTCTCGTTTATACAAGACATCCTGAAAACAAATATAAAATTCTTGTAATTAGTGGTTTGAATCGCATAAAAATCCCTCAACCGAGCCAACCTAACCGACATCAATCGGGTACAATCGGTTAACTCGGTTAAACCGAATCAACCGACTAATATTCGTGGTTTTAGAAAACTTTCGAATTTCTCTTCACTTGATTTTCTGCCTGACAACTTCCCCAGCGTTGCCATCTTGTTCATTTTATAAACTCGGATGTAATTTGCTTTGAATTGTGTAATGATTTCAGCACAAATTCACGTTCGCCACCTCGTTTAAATTTATTTTTTTCATGGTTCCATTCAGAATCAGAGAAGTTTATTGGTCCATCCAACCAGGCCAGGTTGCTTCATAAATGGATCCCAAACCACTTTTTGCAAGATATTCAACATTGGTAAGGGATCCATTCGAAAGATCCTTATTCACCAGCCATTCTATCGCATTCATTTATCAGACTGTCGATATCTTTATTTCCTTTAAATCATTTAGATTTATAAATTCGTTTGTGATATTTAATTACATTGCAGGACGGGACCAATTTGTAACATTTACATTTATTACTACAAATCATGAATATTGTGAACTGACACGCTCTGCAGTAGTAATATTTTCGACAATAAATTACAATCATGAATTTTAGTGTTTTATGAAGTCGTTGTTCACTTCCTTTTGTGTTGGTGAATCCACGGTTAAAAATATATCGATATCGATATCTTACCTTTACAAATAACAATACGTAACGGCCAGTGTCTGAAATTGATTTTTGAAATTATCGTTATCGTTATTTGCTCTTTGTGCATTAACGTTAATTTTGGTTCATCTCATCTAACACTAATCAGAAAAAATGCACAGACACCACTGTGATCCAGTTTATGCATACAAATACGTACCAGTGATTTTGATTTTCCATGTTTAGCTCTATTAGGATGGCCGAACCACCACTTAGTATTTTTAACCGTCCAATTGTTGGAGACACTCTAAAATTCTTATCATCGCCAGCTCTCTGGTCTCGAGAGCTATCGAAGCGAGGCGATGTAGTTAAAGCATATATTCGTGGTATAGATGGATTGAAAATGAGTACGGTCTATCATTTATCGGGTGTTGAAGGACTAAAAGCTTTTTACGATGAAAAAAATGTTGCACGTGGATCAATTGATACACCACCAGATCCATATTTATTTGACAATTATCTGTTTGTTGTGCCGAAATTGAATTTGGAAGCGCATAAGATAAGAAAAGGTAGAGCAATGTACCTGTAGTTGTTTCATTAGTAAACCCTGTTTAATTTTTGCTACATTATGAACTAGGAATATTATTGCAGGTCGTACATTCTCCTGAAAATATTGATCGTTTCATTGAGACTATTGTCTCATTGAGCCAAGGTTTTATCGAAACATTATCAGCTAAAATTAAAGATGGAAAACTAGCCAAAATTCCATTAAATACCGCAATACGACAGTTTACGGCAAGATTCACCGCAAAATATTTATGGAGTTATGATGATGCCGATGGCATATTCATACGCAAGCAATATGAAGCTATTAACGACATCTCATGTATGTAAATTTCTTTTATAAGAACTCTATTACGAAAATATAAGAATTAAATTATTCGATATTTTTATATAGCGGTTCCATTGAAATTACCATTTTTTGCATATAATGATGGAATAAAAATTGCAAAGTGGCTTCGTGAGTTTTCATATTCACGTTTAGCGGAACACCGTCTAGAACCTGACAAATATAACGATACTATGAAATTATTAATGAATGCCGTCCCAAGATTAACTGACGAAGAGCTTATCTTGGAACTTAATCATTTGCTTTTTGCGATAAATGGTCTTTCGTCTACTGCTACTGGCGCTATTATTAAGTTATTACAGCATAAAAATACAGGTGCAATATTAATATTACCTATCCATCATTGTGTTTGACTTTTAGTTTTAATATTTTTTTCTTATATGTATAGAAATTTATGGAAAAGTAACTGCTGAAATTGAGAATAATCGCGAACTATTAGAATCTTTTAACAACAATCAATCAATCAACGGAAAAAAAATCGACGAAAAGTTTCCGTATCTTTTAAACGTTATCAGAGAATCCCTGCGACTTTACCCTGTTGCGCCAATGCAATTAGGTATTTTGAGTTTGAGTTCCTTTTAACGATATAATCACTACGCTAATAATTGAGAATTCGATTTTAGCAAATTCTGTTAGAGAATTCCAGGTAGAAGGATACAAGATACCAAAAGACGTTATAGTGATTGGAGCTATATATGGAAATGGTAATTTCAAATATTGCAATCATTTCTAAAATGAAGTGCAAAGAATGCTAAGCAAACTGCTGTTATTATTACAAGGATTCGATCCAAAATTATATCCAGATTCAGAAGAATTTCGTCCCGAACGTTTCGAACACGAAATAACGAATACCACTAGTGGATACGAATACTCCTCATTCGGAGCTGGTGATATATCAACATCACATCGCTGGTATATCGTATTACTATTCATTCTAATGATGTTATATTCAATTCTGTAATTTAAATAATCTTGTTTTTATAGTGCTGGTCAACCAGCAGCACTGAGCTACTGCGTTTACATTATTGCCCGTTTATTGGCGAAATTCGAGATTTCTCTAGTCGACTCAAATCAAAGTTTCAGTTGGACTACTGCGTTTCCTAGACCCGTGAATGAATGCCCGGTTGAGATAAAGTTTAAGTCTTGATTGCATTAGCATTTTTATTATTATTGTTACGGTCAGATGTTTTTGCCTTAACGTTAACGTTAAAGGTGTTATCCATCAATGTTAGCAATGCTGTCCTGAACCTGTAAAGCAGGTGAAATGTATACTGTAGTCCCAGTCATTGAGTCGTGATTATTTATAGACTATTTATTGCTCTTTACTATTGTATTAGGTTGTCCAGGATGAGGCAACTTAGCTTATCATATTCTACTTATAATAAATAATACTTCAACTGGTTATTTCATAAAAAATATAAAATATCTAGTAGCTATTTATTATTTAATATAATTTATGTTAACTTGTTATCGTTATTACATTAATATTACTTTTTATAAAACAATTGCATTTTTAATATAGATCTATATTAAATACAATTTAAATTTCGATTACCAATTCTTGGCAATGACAAAATTTAAAATTATTATTGTTATTTTTTCTCTTCATGCTTTTCTATTTTTTCAGCAACAATTAAAGATGTATCACATAGAAATATCTTTTTACAAAGTAAAGACATTTTATTTACTTTTCGGGTTTCTTCGTTTTTTTGAAAAAGTTCAGTATATTACTCGAAATTACAGTCACCGGTGAAAGTAATGTCATAAATTTTACTATAATACTAAATTTTTTATAGAAGTAAATATATTAATAATCGTGCTTTTCTAGCAAGTTAATAAAAAAGAATGAACGGCAGGTCATTTTCTCGATTGCAGGTTTTTAAAAGTTTCAAAACCTATTTCTCGATAATCAGCGGTCAATTTGGTCTTATTACGTATATTCACCTCAATAAGGCGAACATTTTGGTAGTAATCTCAAGAATATTTGTCAAATTACAGTATATTACCGGAAATTTCAAAAAGGAATCTGTCACTTTGGAACCCGATATCTCAACATCCAGTGATCCCATTCGAACAAAGCTATCACCATTAGTCGAGACGAATCTAATGATGTTATCTTTGTTCGAATGGGATCACTGGATGTTGAGATATCAGGTTCCAAAGTGACAGATTCCTTTTGAAATTTCCGGTAATATACTGTAGGGGTGTGTATTGCAAATTTAGTTTTTTTTTTTAGTTAAAAACGTTCAAGTTACAAAATCTTTAGAACATTAAATTATATTCGAACTCCTATTGAGAGCACACCAATTACTGATATTTTAGGGGCATAATGCCCTATTCAAAAGCACTTTCAAAATAAAATTTTTTAATTTTATTATACAATTAAAGGAAATATAATAAAAAAACTGACCGCCATTACTTTCGTCGGGGACTGTAAACTTCAATATTACTATCATTTTTTACTAAAAATAATTATTTTACCGAAAACCTTTGTGATGTCTAAAACCCTGAAAATATTTGAATATGGTTATTACTCATCTAGGTCTTATATTCGATTTAATTAGTTGTGTCCAGTATTGTAAACTGGACATATCCAATACTGCGCCAATGACCGATGGACTCAGTAATTTATAAGTCCAATATGGTCTAGTCCCATAACTTCTGGTTACTAGATATAATAAAGTGATAATACTGCTCGAGCTGATTGTCCAATTTAATACTTCCAAGAAAAAGCTTCCAATTTGGTTTACTAGTTTAATCATAAATTTGATTAGAAATAAATAATATTTTTAATTTCCCTTATATTCTCCGATACATAACAGATTTATCTTCCTATAATTCTAAATAAACAAATTACTCGTGTAATTTTTGTTCTTTGAAAAAAAAAATACTGTAAAACCTGATAGTTTTTCTTTTATTTTATGCGTAATGTTATACTAAATATAATTGAATTTTATTTTGGCAAGCCCAGACTTATTTTTTTTATTAAGAAGAAAAAGATATGATTCTCTCATTCCTAATTAAATGAAAAATATCAAAGTAATTGCTGTAAAATTTTTACATATAATTGGTCTCCTTCTAAAAAGGCTGTTGTGAAAAATAAATGGCATTTCTATGAATCTCTATCTCCAGCCTTTGAAAGTCGTAATACGTACTTACATATCCAATTTCGATGAATGTGACAAGAGCTGATCAATTTGATTCCAGATTACGCGAAATTCTATTAAGTCAACGAGTCTTCGCTAAGGGTCCGAACGGTTCGGTTCAGTTCTGTTTTCGAATAGATCTGATGCAGACTCGAAATTCGATTCGGTTCTATAAGTAAATACAGTTATTTAACCGAACCGAATTGTTCCCAATATAGTTCAAAAAATTAATGCTAAAATTGTTTTTTTAAAGTTCACAAGTACATAATTTTAACTTAATGGAATTAGCGTTTGAAATTTCACATAAATTTTTAGGTTGTCAAGTGTATTAAATTGGAAAATAAGATATACATTATGTATATCGATATTGATACGTATGATGATATTAGCGTGTGATCTTTTATAACCGGGTTCGGTTCCATGATCCAAAAATCGTTTTCAAAAATAAATGAATCAAATCGAAATTTTGGTTCGATTTTGGTTCGGTTTCGATTAAGTTCCGATTCTGAGCAGAATCGTTTGGACCCTTAGTCTTCATTAAGAAAAATCTCCGGCTTAAAGAATTGTATTTATACTATCTTATAAAATAAAAATTGTGTAGAGTAAATTGAAATAACATTACTAGTGATAGTTTTATAATTTTTTTGACATGTCAAATGGCATTCAAGCCTGCGTTGACATGGAAGGAGATCCTATGAAAAAGAATGGCTGATATTTGTCTACACATTTTCCATTTATCATATTTTGTCCTACATACAAAATGCATCATTTTAATGCAGGTCAAATACAAGACAGTGTACGTACATGTATATATTTGTCCAAATTGGTTCATGCAAAATGACATTGGAAGCTGAATTGAAGACGACAAATATCGAACATTCTTTTTTCATAGGGTAGAATGCATCATGATATCCTACTCAGAGGCATTCCAGAAATAATTTTTTTGTATGGTTGTTCTTAAAAACTGCTCTTTAAAAAACTAATCGCCATTACTTTCCGTGGGGACTGTATAATTCGAAAAGGAATATTCTCCGGTTCTTGTAAATAATTTTAATGCAATACAAGTATTCAAATACAATTTATAAAATTGAAAATAGTTCAAATTGTTCTTGGTTTATTTAAAATTGAACCAATAATCATCTTATTAATATCATTATTTAGGGAAGGCATAGTTAGAGATGGGTAAATCTACTTATAATCCAATACTATACGTACTATATGTACTGTATGTATAGCATGTATAGTATTAATGTATAATAATACAGATATATATATAATTATCTAAAAACAGTAATTAATATTCTTTATTTATAGCATACATATTTAATAATTATCACTTGCTATTACTATCACTTGAAATCTCTAATACTTCATTAATATTATCTGAACTATTTCTAAATTTCTTTCTATATTACTTTCATTACTTTTATTATCTACATAATATTGATTTATATTTACCTCTTCATTTATTATAGCAATGTGTTACTCAATAACTTTTTTTGTTGACCTAGAGAAGATTGCAATTTATAGTTACTATAAATATAAACTAATTTAAGAATATGCTTAGGACAGTGACATATAAAGCTCCAATAAGTTTGAATCAATCTGAAATCTGATTTGAATCTGATCTGAAAATTCCAGTACAGATCAAAAATTATTATTTTTCATTCAATATTAATTGAAATTAAACAAAATTTTGTGAATATATATATAATTATATTTTAAATCACTCTATTTAAGACATAAAATACAAATATCTTAATAAAAATAAAAGTTATTAATAAAAAATATTTTATAATTTTTAGGTCAAACCAGATCTGAACCTGATCTGATTCAAAATTCTCAGTTCAGATTAATCTCAAATCTAATCCAACTTGATTTAAACAGAGTTTTAGTGATATATTATTTTATTATAAGTGACTATCTCTCTCACCTAAAAATGAATCCTGAAATTGATAATATAGTTTAGAAAGATAACTGAAACTAATTTAAGTTATAGTTATATCTCTTTCAAATAGTTTAGAGATTCATTTTTACTCATATTGTTATCATAGTAACATAAATTTCTCTAATTCGATAATCTTTCTTTGATTATGTGAAATTCCCTTTTTCTTAATTTTTATAATTTATCACCTGATTATCATTATTTTTAT